GGCGCCATAGGGCGCGCAAGCGCGGGAACGCGTGCGCGCGTATACATCGCGAAGCGCGGGAATGGTGCGCGCATGGCGCGCATTGCGCGGGAAAGCTGCGCGTCATATAGGAATCACTGTGGATGGTACATAGAGTGATGCTGCGAGTTGGTGCTGTATACTCCCTAGTGTAAAGCGCCATATCACACTATGAGATGCACGAGTCTCTACATCTCCCAGGGACTTAAATTCTGAGTGTCCCCACTCAGCGCGCGCATGGTGAGGATTTTGCGTGATAGTATGTATGTGCGATGCATGTACGATGCTTTGGTTGTTGGGCGATGAATGCGTGATCATAAGAATGGTATGTGTGAAGCGCGGGAAGTTGCGCGCATGTTACGCGCGAGGCGCGAGAATGTGCGCGCGCTATGCGTGAAGGCGCGGGAATGAAGCGTAGCATGGTGGATTGCGAGGGTGACTCTGATGTGATTAATGTGCCATGGGTGTGGGGTGATGATGCAAGGGTGATATGGATGTGGCGCGCAAAGCGTGGGCGAGATGCGCGCATATCCATATAGCGCAGGAAAGTGCGCGCGCGCAAGGCGCGAGAACGCGCATGAGTGTCGCATGTGTTGTATTCTGTGGGGATGGCGCGAAGTGGCGCAGTCCAGGAGCAATCCAATCCATGTCCAAACCAAGTCCTACTAGGCGTGCTAAATATTAGTTGCTAAAGGTTTGAACAGCATGAGTAAAACTATAAGTGAAAATATGAAGGGAAAATGGTAAACTTTGCGGATGTCCTATCCGACTTGTCTTCTTCGTGCAGCTGTCAACATCTACACCTTCCTATGAGAAAGGCGCGGGAAGTGCGCACGCGCGCGCGTGAAGCATATGTGCGCGGGAAGATTGCGCGTATATGCGCGTGAGCGTGGGAAGACTGCGCGCATATGTGCGCGTTCTAAGGTAAAAAGGAGCATGGTGCCGCGTCATGCGTGCGAAGAGGAAATATACTATTGAGCTAGGCGGGCACGATCTATGGTTGTTTTTCTTCTAGGTGATTCCTATATGCATATATCAGTGTGTTATTAGTCTTTTGGACAGTGTTATAATGAGAGAAAATGAAATGAAAGAGCACTGGACGAAACCCAGGGTAAAACAAACAATATCCTATGAAACAGTGTTGGTATATGTTCCTCCTTTGATGCGCCGCTGAAGCGCTCGATCCTCCTCCTTGAGTGCGTGCGAGCGCACGTGACTAGCGCGCTTCGCGTCTCTTGCGAGCTGACGCTTTACCCAAGGTAGGGTTGGAATGCGCAAGGCTGGCGTATTTGGGGGGGCTTGTAACTGGCAGAATGAATTCCTGCACAACGCGCTGCAGGTTGAAGGCGCGCCAATGGGAGGCGCTGTGAGGGGTGTAGAGGCGCCCTACAAGCTGATAGGGTGCGCGCGATGTGCGCGCCTTGGGGCGATTTCGCGCGAATTTGATTATATTGGCCGAACACGCGAGGAACAGCCATTTCTCTGCAAATGCGTTAGTGAGAGATGTATGTAGTGTAAAATTAGGCGCAAATGTTGCACAAATGGGCTGTAAGGGTTGTATATCAAGGCGCAGAAGGCGCATGGGCGAAAGAGAATAGTGCGCATCAGCGCGCGCAGGAACAAAATTGACATGGTAAGCAAAAGCGTGAAGAATGCGAATCAATGTGCGAAGTGCGAAGTTAAAGGTGATGGTAGGGGGGTTAGGCGCATATGTATGTGTCAGGCGCGCGCCTAAGTCGCGCCTGGATGACTGATTGGAATATACTTTGTGTTGAATGATAGAAATGAGATTTAAAAGGGGAGAAGTGATTGAAACGCGATAGTGCGAAGACTCTGCTAAATTTATGAATGCACGAGGCGCGGGAACGCGCGCGCATATTGCGCGATGCGCGTAATCATGGCGCGTGAACAATGGGTAGTGCAAAGATGAAATTAAAGTGTTTGGAATGGTCATATAGCTCCTTAAGAGCTTCAAACATGAAAAAGACAAAAAACGCGAAACAAGATGAGGAAAAATATACCGCGCCTCTAGGCGCGCGCATTGCGCGTCCTCAGGCGCAATATGGTGCGCCTGAGTCGCACCAGGGTCGCCTGAGACATGCTCTGCTTGGTGGTTAGGCACCGTGTTGCACGGATGTTTTACCGGTGCACGATAGTCACTGGAAGCAAAAAGTGCGATGTGCGCGTGATCGCGAGTGACATCTGGAATTTCCAGAGACAAACTCTGGTTGATGCAAGGTGCGACTTGAGCCTCTGATGCGGCAGGAGGCTCCTCTATAGGCGCGCTAAGGTGCAATAGATGTTTAGGGTCATCCCTGACCTCTGATGATGCGAGTGGCGATAGCAGTGATGGCGATGGTGCGATTGGCGAGGTTTCTTCCTTAAGCGATGCGATAGGCGGGCGCGTTTCAAGCGATGGCGTAATAACGTCCACAATGGGCGCGTTACTGTGCAATAGATATTTAGAGTCATCCCTGACTTCTGGCGAGGTGGTAGCGATAGGCGCGCGCGATGCATTAGCGATAGGCGCGCGCGATGCGTTAGCGATAGGCGCGCGTGTTTCAACTGGCGCGTTAGTGTGCAATAGATGATTATAGTCATCCCTGACTACTGATGCTGTGATTGGTGATGATGATGCGGATAATGATGGATATTGTGAAGGAGATGGTGCTGATGATGAAGGTGAAGAGGCGCCTGCAGTGCGCTTCTGGTTGCGCTTCGTGAGCGCGCGCTCGAGTTCGTGATCTAAAGTGATGTAGTCTGGTATACCTTTGTATGCTGGCGCAGTTGATGGTTGAGGTGTGCGTGATTCGCGCGAAGGCGCGGGAAAGGCGCGCGCGTGAGGCGCGTGAATAGGAACTGATGGCTTTTTGTCAAGTACAGCTTCTGAGGGTGCGCGATAGAAGAGTCCAGCTGTTGCATTAGCGCTAATGGTCGTATCCTGCGTTGCGCGACTCGCGTGGTATTGATCTTTGTACTTAGCCACTTTAGCTTGCACTGGCGCAGTTGCTGTGACTAAGGTGGCAATTGGTGCTACTATGGGCGCGCTAACTGGCGCGCTTGGCACGGGAAAAGCGCGCGCAGGTAATAGGAACTGCGCAGCTGCGAAGACGTCCATGAATGGGAATGGGTCGTATGGGTGGTGGTCAGGGAACTTGATCATAAGGCGCAAGCGGATTTGCGCCTGAGCATCGCTAGGGATTCCTTCCATGAATAAGCGGTCGCGTTCGGCCTTTCCAATACGGTCTTCGTCCATGAGTGGCTGCATAATCTTCCTGAATGCGCGCAGGTAACTGCTTAGTTCTGTGCAAGAGGGCATTGGTTTGTTAGCGTATTCGCGCGCGATGGCGCGCAAGTCCGCGAGCGCGTAGCGTCTTTTACCATCCCATCCAGGATACATTACCTTCACCTCATCTAAAAAGGCGCTGTAATTATCTACTGCCGCTTCTGGCATGCCTCCCCATAGTTCTCGATCATCGCGCGCAAGGTAGCGGATGATACCTTTGATGCGGTCGAGTCCTTGGAGTCCTGCTTCATCAGCAAGCTGCTCATATGCGTCAATAAATTCGGCGAGGTTGTCTGTAGTGCCGTCGAACTTGGGCGCGTTTGCTGTGCCGCGGATGGGCAATCTATAAGGCATTGAGGCGCATGAAAGGTGCGCGCGCAAGGCGCACAGGCGTGGGAAAGCGCGCGCACAAGGCGCGAGAATGCGTGACTAGAAATTGGTTAGCTTTTGAATATGCAAAGAGATTGACCTTTATATGCGCGAATTGGTGTGAAGTGCGAAGATGCGCTGAACTAGATCTTGCTGACTGCTCCCCTCGCGGTGGGCTCCAGTTGTAGAAACAACAATACAATGAGGAACAAGGATGCTCCTAACTGTATCTATAAAATGTTGTGAGGTCGCGCGTTACCTAGTCTGCTATTCTTGAGGAGACAAGTGCGTTCGACCCTAGGGGAAGCGAGTGCTGCGAAGATCTAGAGGTACGCTTCAGCGAAGCGTGAGAAAGCGCAAGTGCGCGCAAGGTACGAAGGCGCGGGAACGCGCGCGCGTATTAGCGCGAAGCGCGGGAAAGCGCGCGCGTGTAAGCGGAAATAAAAGAGACTAAGCTTAAGTGATGATATAAAGCAATATAAGAAAAGATAGATGCAAAGTGTAGACCAATAGACTTCTACTATGTACTGCTAAGTAAATAGTGGGTGATAACTAGTAAGTTCAAGGGAAAAGTAAGGTCCAGTGTAGTATGTACTGCTGGCGCTTATATAGCGCGCCTAAGCGTGCTCATGCGGAGCCGAAGCGCTACCGAGTAGGTATGTAAATATATATATGAGTGAGAATGCATGATAAAAATAAAGGTGGAACTATGCTAATAAAGGAAATGGAAATATACGCACTAGGGAGCTTGGTGGACAGTGGATGGATGCATCTGGATGGCTGGCGCCATAGGGCGCGCAAGCGCGGGAACGCGTGCGCGCGTATACATCGCGAAGCGCGGGAATGGTGCGCGCATGGCGCGCGTTGCGCGGGAAAGCTGCGCGTCATATAGGAATCACTGTGGATGGTACATAGAGTGATGCTGCGAGTTGGTGCTGTATACTCCCTAGTGTAAAGCGCCATATCACACTATGAGATGCACGAGTCTCTACAGCGGCAGGAAATGAGGGCATAGAGAATGATATTGGTATCATTACCTCACTGTTCGAACTCGTAAGACTGACTAACTTTTATCTACATCAGACATGCAAGGGTCGTCGCCACATAGACATCAACCGGTCGACTCCGATGCTGCTGTATTGCCTGACTTTGATGCTCCCAATCTTAATGATCGCAACAAGCTCACTTATGAACTCAATGACATTAAAGTCGAGTACCATCCACACAGCGAACTTCCTCCCACTGTACATCACTTTCCGACTTTTCCTGCAGCTGCTCTTCAGAGGACCAGGTGCCTCATAACAACTCACCATGGGAACCCTTCCGGATGCAACTGGACTTTGAAGTTGCAGAGATCGTGCTTGAAGCTGCAATGATGGAGGAGCAGACAAATCGACTGCTTGATCTCGTACATCGATCCGCCAGTGGCAAGGACATATTTATGTTGCAAAGTCATGATGAGGTTCGCTCGCTGTGGGAAATGGCTTCAGAATGGTATACACCAGTAATTAATTTCCTTTTTGTGCATTTATTGAAGCTTATGATGTAGTGTACACTAGTTTCGAAAGGATGTAGTATCTGTTAAGCATCAGGACGAGACACATGAGTCTGACATGCACTACCGCCCTCTCTGGGACTGGGCACTTGATTTATTGTGAGACCATCGTCTTGCACCTCACTTTGTATTTGATGCTCAACGTCTTTCCAAATTCAACGGAGAACAGTTTGTTTGCTTCATTGATGAACCATGGATGGCTAACGCCTTCTGGAATGCACAAGTATGTCTCGCAGCTTCTCATTCATCTACCTAATATTACTGTCATAGTCTCAACTTCCATCGGACGCAAAGCCGCTGGCATTCATTCTGTATGCTGACAAAAGTAAATTATCTTCTTTTGGAACTGAAAAAGGCTATCCGATCATTGCCCGCATTGCAAACCTGCCTGTTCACATTCACAATGGTAATACAGCCCTAGGAGGAGGTCGTGTCGTTGGTTGGTTGCCAATTGTTAGAATCTTATAATGTGTGTCACTGCTAGCGATATTACTGACTATGTTGTCAGGTTCCCGAGGATCAAAAACATACAAAAAAGAAGAGCTTCATTGACTTCAAAAATGCGGTGTGGCACAATTCCTTCTACCAGCTTCTCCAGTCAATTGAGCTGCATTCGAAAACTGGCTACTGGTTTGAATGTGGGGATCAGATCCGACGCCGTCTCTGGCCCTTAATACTGATCTTAAGCGGAGATTACGAAGAACAGTAAGTGCTACCATTAGTTTACTACTCTACTGCCAGTCTAATGTTTACCTACCAGAGATGTGTCATGGCGTTGATTCGCAGTGTGAAAGGCAAATTTCCATGTCTGGTCTGTCTAGTCCCTCAAGATGAGCAGTCGGTCAATTGTGTCTTTGTATTGCGCACAAGTTGCAATTCCCAACAGGTCCTTTGCACCATGAGAGGAAAGCATACAGAAAAGGAAAAGGAGGAAGCTCTAAAGGCTTATTCAGTTTGAAATGTAGAGGTATGCGTTGCTGTGCCCTGCTGACAGACTTGGCACTGACTTCATTAAATTAATAGAACATATTTTGGAAAATTTTTCTTGCAGATGTTCATCAGGCGCTTTCTATTGATCGCCTGCATATGAATCACGAAGGACTATGGGGGGACCATTTGTGGAAGGACCTTTTATTCTGGATTTCTGATCTTGGATGGGACACTGCTACTAAACTCGATGCAAAGTATGTAATCTTGCATAAATGCGAGTTCGTTGTGGTGCTGACTTACTACCTTAGCTTTGATGCTCTTCCACAATGGCCGAACTTGACACACTTTAAGACTGTCATGTCAGTTGATTTCAATGATGGCTCGCTTCATGAGGACATATCAAAGGTATGCCATGTGCCAGCCTTGAACATGATCTTTTGGTACTGATGCAAACTTTAAATTCAAGCTAGTTCTATTTACAGCACAGGACATCCTTCATCAATCACAATCTAAGCTAGGATACCTGCTTCTACGTTGCATCCACTACTATATCGAGTTTGATATCTACGCTTCATTTGAAGTTCACACCAAGGAGACTATTGCGGCTGGAAGGGCAGCCCTGAATAAGTTCTCAGATTTGATGGAGGTGAGTCATTCAGATGCTGTTAATCTTTGAGCATCTGACTCGTCTGATGGACTTTCTTTAGGAATACATCCCCGAGTCACAGCCTGAAACGAGCAAAAATTGGAACTTCCCGAAGAAACACATGATCACGCACGTATTCGATGATATCTTGGCTAAAGGTGCGACACGTAACTACAACACTAAACCAAATGAGAAGATGCATGGTGGTTTACGGAAAATTTACCTTTGACAAACAAACTTCAAGGATGTGGCTCCTCAGGTTCATTGCAGTCCATAAGTCTAATGTTTTACTGACAAGCTACAGATCCTGCGATATGACCATTGGCTTCTGACATCAACCTCTATGCGGACCGAGCTTGATGAGCTTGACAACTACAGTCGAAACGCTACTGACGACCCAGAGACAAATGAAACTCTGAATGAACTACTAGTGGATCCTATCGTCCATGTGCACTTAAGTTCAAAGCAAGGCAGACATTCTTTTTCAGACATCATGGACGCACACGGAACCGACAGAGCGTTTACCAACTTTTGGACAAAATTAAATGTCTTCCTGAACATGTTCCTACTGCAGAATGGCATTCCCTTGCCAGATGGTCCAGGAAGGGCCCTTCATCTCCAAGCCGACGACGAGGTATACTACCTTTGTTGCAGTTGATCATCCTCACTGATATTTCTGGCAGATTATAGAGTTCCAATTCCTGCAGGTGAACTACAAGTCTATGGTTGATTGGTGCCTGCACCGAGACTTACTTCGGTGCAGCCCAAAATTCTATGGATCACCGAGGTTCAATTGCGTCATCGTGAAAACTACAGACAAACCATTCTTCACTCGCCTCGTGTACTTGTTTGGCTGCTCGATTGGTGATACTGATCTTGCTCTGGCCCTCATCCATCCTTATGATGTCGGTATTGGTGTTTGCCGAAGGCAGGATGTTGATTTGGGATTGTGGCATGTACAAGCCAAACCTCGCTCATCGTCTGAGATTATTTCTGTCCGGTCTATTATTCGAGGTGCTGTGCTTGCCAGAGATCCGGAAATGGATGGAGATCACTTGGTTATACACACTATAGATGCGGACATGTTCCTTCGCATCAAGTCTCTTCAAGCATAATGATATTCATTTTACGGTCTTCAGTTTTCTGCCTTTGTCTTCCAATACTCATCATTGATCTCCTCATTCTTGGCTTGCAGCAAGCTACACTTTCTCGAAGATCATCAACAAGTGGAACACTGCATTAATCGGTTTGATGACCTACTACCGCAAGGCCGTCATCCACACAAATGATTCCTTGGGCTCTCTTGTCAAGGCAGAGAACAAGATCCAAACTCATGTTAAGATAAGCTTGAACAGTAAGATGCCATTCCATTTCCCTCCTGTTGTCTTCTACACACCGAAGGAGCTTGGTGGCCTTGGAATGCTTTCGATGGGTCACGTTCTTATCCCGCAGAGTGACTTGCGATGGTCCAAGCAAACTGATGTTGGAGGTTTGTCAAGGGCCTCCAGTTGTACCCTTCTGAGCCCACAGAGCCTTACCTCAACAGCCAGAACTACTCGGAACTGTTTGGTAAGTCCCTTGTCCATCTTTTCATCAGTTGAATTGACCATCTGTGCAGGTACTTGATCATCAGAATTCGCCTTTCTTGCAAGACACTGGGATCACAGCTATCCCTGACCCAATTGCAGTCAATAGGCGTGTCCTCGCAACACCGTCTATCTATTATGTGAATCCTGCCACCAGCAAGTCCAGGATGTCAGAAGGCATGTGGCAGCAATGATCTGATTCTCAACCTACAGGTTCCACAAAACAGGTCCTGGAACGTGGTCGACCAAATGTTCCCATCATTACGTCGATCGTTTACATGCTTCACCATATAAAGCAACTTGAAGGGTCCTCATCCAATATTCTCCTTTCAATTGTTCTCTGTTTCAGTACAGACATAAGTAATCTTCCTTTATCCATGAGAGTTGATCTGACCAAGACTCACAATGTGTGTTATTATACTCAGTAACATGTAATATGTATGCATTGTGCTGCGGTAATTAATGTGCATCTTTACTGTGTTTCTGTTCAGTCTCTCACTTCTGTCTCACTTACTCATACCACATCAATGTTCGGATGTGACTAAGCAGGCTGTTTCATTATGGCACTCGACTTCGCAAATGTATAAAATATCAGCAGCTGAGATAGTTTTTACTCGTCCTGCAAGTCATACTCTCAGGTCTCGTCCACTTCACATACTCTGTCCTCCTATTGTTGACCGATGTCTGATGAATCTGATTCGAACTTGTCGAGATCCTTGGGTATTCATTCAAGCTCAGATGAGGACAACTATGACCATCCTGTAGCTCCACCAAATGAAGACGCTTCCAAGGAACATTACCAAAAGGTAGGCTTCTGTTCATCCGCTGTTCTGCATTCTAACATGTTCCACCTAGTATATCAAATACCTGCAACTTCAGCAGGGCAAGCTTGAGTGGTGCAATGCAACACTGAATGAGAGCAACAATGTCCTCAATGCGCAACAGCTTAAATGTTCTCGCAAGTGCCCTCTTAAAGCGACATCCTCCAATACGATATCATCAGCATCCCAACCATCTTCCGCAGGTCCATCTGCTGCACCTTCTGAATCTACTGCATCTGATTCATCTAAGCTCAACGACATTGAGAAGCTCATTCTCAGCTCGGCGAATAAGTATGCAATAACCACTGAAATGTTCCTTCCCGACAAAGCCATTTTTCAAACCGAATGTCCTGACCCTCCAACTGATATCTCGAATCCAAATCATTATGCAAAAAAATCAACCGAGAAGGACGCACTTGTAACCAAGCTTTATGCATCCATTGATTTTGTGTTGCACCTTCGGATGCAAACAAACGTCTTTTATAATCAGGTTTGTAATACCTTTGCATTGTTAAAATCAATCCGACTTACAAACCTCACACAGTTTGGAACTGGAATGCAGCAAGCTCGGTCATCATTTATCAACGGGCTACGTACTGTGGCAGGTAGCATCTTCAACATGCCGAATGAGTATTTCATGTCGAAATATGACCGTACTTCTGTCCCGCAGGTCACAGACTTGATCGGATGGGAAGCAGGTAAGGGGAAAGTGTATGACGTTTTCAAGGCACCAATACTCTACCCTGATAATGTCATCAATGCGAAGAGAGCATTCAAAAACTGGTTGGTGATCGCAAAGGTAAGGGCCAATCAAAAATTATCCACAATTGTTCAGATTTTGTTTGGAAGATTATCAAGGTTGCGGTCTGTGGCAAAATGTTGTTATATCCAAAAGCACGTGGTGGCCCGCCTCCCTATGCCAAGATTTGGCAGCTCGTAAACTGCACTCCTGGCCTAATTGCATTCGGTGTCACATTGGTAAGGTTTCAGTACTTCAAATACACTCCGAGCAGGCACTTATTATGTTCGGTAGACCATCTTCATCCCTGTCTCCCGATCAAGAATTCTCGGGAGATGGTGTTGGAGCCATATTGTCGATCTCATATCACTCAGTCTTCCAAACTGTTAAGAAATTCCTCATTGTCAAATGGACACATGATCGCATCAAAGATATCGTGCAGCAAATCAATGCTTATGTCTTTGATGGCATTGTCAAGACACAGTTGGACAATACTCCAGGCACTATGGTAGAGGATGTTACTGATTCACTCGATCATGTTATGGCCACACTTGACGACGACAGTGACTCAGATGGTGCTTCGTGGTACGCTCAACCACATGTTCAAATCGAAACACACCACAAATCTCCTGCAGTTCTTACCATTTCACTTCCCTCTGAACCTCCAGTACCCCAGACTTTCAACAGTTTCACAGCCCTGACCATTCACAATGATCCTGCAATGCCTTCTACGTCGTCTATCTCAACTCGGAGTCTCCCCACTGCTGCGACGTCACACTCAGTTGCGTCAGTTGAGATCCAAAGTGTTCAAGAGATTCCCAAGGATCTCCTAGTTGATACTGGTACTAGTAATACCAAGGCACAGAAGAAGGCAGCAAGGGGCAAGAGGACTAAGGTTCCTGTCGACGATGCTGATATTCGCCATTCTTCCCGCAATGCTAGTACTGTGAAATGATCGTTGTTGAGTCTTCCTACTATGAATCTAGCCATCTTATGTATCAGTCAATTTTTTTCAGTAGTAATCAATTTGTTGGTGACATACACATCAGTAAAAGAGGTTTATATGTTGTACAAAATGTGAAGACAATATTTAATATTTAAACTAACATAAAGATGGGTGCACGACTTCAAATTTTGGTGGTGTTTTGTGTGTAATCCAAAATATCAAATATTCACAACCATATTCCCACAGACAATATGTCAACAAACATAAGAAATATAGTCAGATTTTTCATGTCTGCTTCAACTTAAAGTTCAATTTCCATGTAAAACTTTGGAGAAAACTTGAAGTTTTACAGATGACATGACATTAAAACTCGATTTAAATGTCAAGCTTTGGCAAAACTTCAAGTTTTCTCCAAAGTTTTATGTAAGAATCAAACTTTAAATTGAAGCAGACATGGAAAATCTGATTATATTTATTATATTTGTTGACATATTGTCTGTGGGAATATGGTTGTGAATATTTGATATTTTGGATGACACACAAAACACCACCAAAATTTGAAGTCGTGCACCCATCTTTATGTCAGTTTAAATATTAAATATTGTCTTCACATTTTGTACAACATATAAACCTCTTTTAAATATCGTTCACCCCGATGTTATATGTGCCCTCTGAATCACTCCTGTGCTCACCCTCACCCAAAGATTGGTGCGCTAGGGCTGTGTGTATCAACATCTCTATTAAAATGTAACATAAATGACTTGATCATGTGATTGCAATGTTTACTAATGATGACATTAGCATAACAACTATTTTTTTCCCTCTTCTGATTCTGACTTATACCACCCACTGGCATTAAATGTCGATGCTAAACACTTATTAGATTCCAGCCTGCTGGTCCATCAAATTATATCTGTGAGCTCTGAGGTCACAAACGACGTCCAAATCATCAGTGAACTAGTGTTCAAAAGTTCCCAGAGGAACAACTCTCTGTGGATGCCTGGACTGCTAGTCCTCCATGCTGATGTAGCCGCCATGCACATCGAGCACCATTGCTCGCAACTCTTTCTCTGGTGGCTCAAACTTTGTAAGGAATGCTCGGTGAGCTCCACCCATCAACTTCTTCCTATGCTCATTCAATGACCTCCAGTTTTGCCCTCTGTTGCCACAAAATAAAATGTGATGCTTCAGACTTTCAAAGGGACTGGATATCAATCATAGATGTTCACACTTGGGTACCGGTAAGTACAGACTTATAAGACCATTCAGCTTTCTAATTTAAGATTTTAGTTTGACTTCGATCAGCCTTCGGCGTCTCCTCTGGTACCACTGATAATTCTTCTACATCGTCCGCATTATTCTGATGTGGCCACCATGCACATCGAGCACCACCACTCACAACTCTTTCTCTGGTGGCTCAAATTTCCTAAGGAACGCTCGGTGAGCTCCACCCATCAACTTTCTCTTCTGGCATCACTGATAATTCTTCTGCATCATCTGCATTTTTGATAGCAAACCTCATGAAGATCCCAGCAATAGTGCATTCACAGTCTTTTGATGTTTTACAAGTCTAAGGTTAATTGGAACGCAGTGTTGGAATGTGGAGATGATCGAGGCCAGCCCACAGAAGACCAGGAACGAGGAGTCACAAGTAAAATGGACGAGCATTTCGTTTTCATTATAAATCTACTGTAATTTATGTGATGTTTATCAATAATAATTGACATTTGACTGCTCATTGGAATCTTGCTATGGTTTATTGGAATGCAAAATTTGTCATTGAGAAGAGTATCAAAACTGTGTTGGCATCATCAAAATCCGCATTAAGACCTGGGGTTTACCATTAAAATGTGCATTGAAATAATGTAGATATCATTAAAATAAACATTAAGACAGAGAGCTACCCATTAAAATGCATATTACGACTATGGTGCACGTCACTTAGTCGCCACTACTTTTGTGCAGGCACCAAATTGAGGCCAAAAAATCACAACCCTAACCCCTAGTCCAAATTAGGCTGGAGTGGGAGGAGCAGCTTTGATATTAGTGTAGCTGCAGTCAAGTTACAGCTATGCATTGCACAGAGTACCTAGTGATCGTGAATGTAAATAATATATCAGCTATTCCTATTCCTCATTACAGGGACCATCCATAATGGCCAGAAAAGCCAAAAAAACTTCAGTTGCATCAAATTTTTAAGTGGATGGAGGTGTACAGGTCAGGACTTATCACCTGAGATGCTCAGTTACAGGTCAAACAATTCAGCTCTACATGCTATAAATCACACAGACGAGTTCCTGAAACAGTAGCAAGGGTCTTTGATCATGTATAGCCACATTTTGTAGGGATGCGCCAAATTGACCTTGGAAGGAAAAAAAAAACTCCCTCAAATTTGAGTATTATCAAAATCCATCTGGAGGTTTTGTTCTTTAGGCAAAAACAAGCATTTTTGCCAGAGGGATAAAAATTTGGGTGAAATTTCGAGGTGCTAAAAATGTTGCACAAAAGTAGTGGTGACTAAGTGATGTGCACCATAGGTGGATGCCATTAAAATGTGCATTTTGATGTTCATTAAAATCGTGTGACAATCAATAAAATGCTGACTGTTATATCGGATAATTCTAATGAGAAACCCCCTTACCTGGGGGTACTTGCTTAGTCAGCAGAAACCCTTCTGACTTTCAATACTGTAGCAGGGTTTCTGACAGGCCGGGGCCCACCACCGGTCCGCCACACTCAACCAGCGCTGTACTGCTAAAAAGGGCCACAGTACTAGTGTGAGTAGATCAGTTCGAGAGCACCATTTATCTGGTGGGTAGTATTAGAACTAGGAATTGCTGCATAATTCAGAAATAAGGCTTGTGTGTTGACTAAGTTTGTTTGTCTGGTACTTAATTTTCAGTATGTTCCCAGTGCTCACTGCCGAGTTTTGGACATGTTTTTAACCTAGGGTATCCCCAGGGTAGTTATTGACAGGTTATTGACACCAACCATATTGTGATTTTTGTGCTACAGAGTTTGAGAAAAGCCAAACTTCCAGAAAATGTATTTCGAACTTTGCATTGCAAATCACCCACAATGATGTTACAAGAAAAAACAACTGATATTTGATTACATAGAATATACACACAAAAGTAATTACTGTATAGCTACAATTGACTGCAAATACCTAATCCCTGGCTTAGATTAGCAAAGCCATACCTGTTGCAGCAAGAACGAGTGCGGACAAGCACATACAAGTGTGAACATGTGTGGATGAGCATAAGCTAATAAAGCTACATTAGTGAAATGCGCAAGTGGATTTATAGAAAAGACGTATGGTGACCCCTCGAAGGAGGATCGACACACTGCGAATGGCGGACAATGACTTCGATCAGCATGGCTCGAGCTCAAAGGAGGATCAACACACTCACCCACTGCGAACGGCAGACAACGACTTGGATCAGCATGGCTCGAGCTTGGAGGTTCAACACACTCACTTCCTGCAAATGGCAGATAATGACTTGGATCAGCATGGCAGTTGCTCGAATGATGACCGATGCACTCACTACCTGTGAACGGTGGACAACGACTTGAATCAGTGTGGCGGTTACTCAAACAACAATCAATGCACTCACCCGCTGTGAATGGCAGACAACAACTTGGATCAGCGTGGCTCTGGCTGGAACGAGGACTGACACACTCACTTCCTGTGAACGGCAGGCAACAAGTTGGATCAGCAGTGGCTCTTGCTCAAACAAGGATCGACAGACTCACAATCCAACAACGAAACTTGAAACCTAGTTTGTAGTTACAAATGTTGAATAGAACTTTTAAAAAAATCTAAGACATACCTATCAGCTTGATGATTGAGGCTGACAACATTGAACATTGAGTACCGGTGCGCACGGCGGAGACAAACGGCGGTCTTCATTAGGTAAGCAGGGGTTTCTACTCAACATTCCTGTTGATGTCAGGGTTTCTTTCCCACAGGGGGTTTCTCATTAGAATTATCTGTTATATCATAATGGGTTATAATTGGCATACATTGTTAGGCCATTTTAATGGATTAAAATGCCATACAAAAACTTCTGACATTTGTCTAGGTACAAACATTTGTCAATTGAGATTCATATAATGAACACTGAGACTCGTACCTTTGTCTAGCTCCGTGTGTGCGCCCCGCTATACTCACAATAGTACTCTATTCGAAATGCATTCTGTTTGCTAATCTCAGTCAGCCACCGCTCAAAGAAAGCATAGATAGTATTCTCTGACAGCCTCATGCCTCAGCCCCAGTGAAAACCAGACAGTGCAGGAATATGCGAGAGCGTGCCACATCGTGCACCGCCAGCAGAAACCGCCCTCACACGATCTCGACAAGAAATCCAGACGAATACACGATGTAAAAGGAGTCCATATTGTGTGTCGTCATGCAAGAGTCGTTCAAGTTCTTTCTGCACAATGTGGCACTCCCTTGCATTCCTTACGAACAGTTTATATCATGCGAGAACAGTTCATACCATATTGCTTCAAGTTGCTATCACTACTATTAATAGTACAAAATACAAATACAATGCATTGGAATGGTATGAAACACTCTTCGCATTCTCATCGCCCCCGGTGCTCAACACCTCGCTCTCGCTCTCAAACTCATAAAGCTGCTCAGGGGTAGGGTTCTGGAACGACACGAATATCTTGATACCGTAGGGTATCTGGCGCAGACCATATGCAGCATGCATGCCAAGGGGGACAGTGAAAACTTGGTCGAGCTCCTCCAGGGTCTTGCCTTTTGTCTTGTGCACGAATAACAAGATGAGCGCCCAGAGAAGACAGCACCATGCTGTGTACCAGCTGAAGGCACCTTGTTGTTTGAAGGACAAGATGAGCGAAGGCCAAGCGATTGAGAGAATGAAGTTCCAGAACCAGGTGGTCGCAGTAGCAAAGGACATGCCATTATCATGGATAGAGAGGGAATGCCTCTGTGGAGTACATGAACGGCACTGGACCTTCGCCTGGAGAATAGAAGATCGCTAAGAGGTCTGAGGGAACATATATCAATGGCAGTATCAAGTACCAAAGGGATGACGTACATATTCCGATACTAACACCAGTTACATGCCCTGTCTCCGAAGTACCCCAGAAGGAGAAGCCCACAATTAAAAGACAGATGGCCATGCATGGAAACGTGAACAAAAGTGGGTTCCTCCGCCCGTAAGTGAGTAACTGATGCTGCAGATATCACAATGACTCACCTGTATTGTTGCCTGACCCGTAGGAGTACTAGAAAGACAGCAGCAATTGCACATATATGCACCCAGTCCCATAGTATTCAATAATATATTGGCTTGAATATTGTTGACAGAACTTACTAAGGCAAATGCTCCGAGTCAGGGTGCTGCCATTGAAGAAACTTAAGTGTTTACATTTAGGACTCGAGCGGATTACTAGCTGCCTGCGGTGTTGTTGTATGGGGAAACACGACGGTAAGGGAACAAGAGACTCGGAGGTGTTGATGACATGAAGACGGACTTTAGATTTGAAAAGGTTTTGTTACTTCGCGCACTGCAGTGACATGCATATAGATAGCAAATGTAAATATTACAGAACTCATGCAAATGCAAAATAAGTGCGAGGGAAGCAGAATTCACGCAAGGTTTGTGCAAAGTTCATGTGTTTGCATGCGCTGCGCTCACAAGAAAATACTCATCATTTGCTATCAACCAGATCTACATGATATGGCACTATGTGTAACACTCTCGCACGCTCTCACATGTTCCCGCACTGTCCGGTTTTCACTGGGCCCTCAGCGCTCAGCGCTCAGCTGTCACAGAATTTAATCTACGCGTGAGTAAGTAAGGTGGCGCTAACGCACCTTGTCCTGACCCACGTCAGTAGCCAATTCTCTAATCACTACGTCAGTAGTAATCCCCATTGTCTTTACCTTTTCTGTCGTGTATTTGCACCCACCTGCCTCTCCCTCTCTCAGAGCTCGAACGAAACTAGTTTGACTCATCCCTTCGCATCAACTTTCGTCCGATGTACTGCGTTCCGCTCCCTAAGGTTTCAAGCTGCACGCAGGGCAGCCTGATCGGTGCCCTCCCGCCCATCTCAGCTCACCAAACCATAGGTTCGGACACATGCGCCGGGCCGAAAAGCCCTTCTGGCTTTTACCCAAACCTTTCCCCATCCTTCTTAATCGTTAGAACCCTCACGTATATTCGTACTCTATTCGAAATGCATTCCGTTTGCTAATCTCAGTCAGCCACCGCTCAACGAAAGCATAGACCAGACTCAAAAGTATGGGAACTCGATAATATTTGAGGTGACATGGATAGAGATGATTCAGATGGTAGTACGACTGTCCTACACGTTACTGGCACGCTTTTGCGACTTGCAACAAGTACAAATAGTTGCATTTCGGCCTTGACACTACTCGTCGTAAACTATACTTGCCGGGCTCCTATTACTGATTGAGGGGACACAGATAATCATAAAACTATGAGTTGGGCTTACCGCATTTCAACACCCTTTGCAACGTTCCAGATCAGCGAGGAAGTGGATCAATGAAAACAAGTTGCGAACCTTTTCCTTCCAACTGATCTGTGCTTTCAGTTCTGTGTGGCCAAATAAAATGATGACGTCGAATTCAAACTCGTAATACTTCGATTGATGTGAAGCCGATCTTTTAGGACGAAGTGTTCGAGATAGCTCGTGGAGGTCAGCATGAATCGTGCATAGCGTGGCAAATGAGACTGAATTGAATCAAATCAGTATAAATATACTTGAGCTGCGAATAACCCATACACGGTTCAGTGTCCAACCACCGCGGCTCCTGAAGGGCACCCTTGTAACACATTATGTCCGTGCTGTGACTCTTGCATGCAGCAATTGATTTCCGGGTGGCTTTAAAGGGCTTCCGGAATTCGCGTTGCTCAGATACTTGCGTTCCCTGTAAAGCAGATCAGCATGTACCGAATGATTGAATGTGCTTTATTCACCTTCAGCAAGATACTCTCAAAACGTTCGTGGAGATACGTTTCGCCGTCCACATCGATGACGCCTTTATGTTGTCGGGCTAGGTGTTCACGATCTAGAACGTTGTACCGTGTTCTGCATTCAACACCATAAGTGGCGCGTGCAACTCGAGACGACACCAGGTGGTCGATGTAGAATGAGACTGCTCCATCAGCAACAGCTTTATTGCTGCAGTTACCTGATCAGTAAAAGTAGTCACGTTGACAGTTGAGGGCTTACGCATGAGCATCAGGGCGACAGAAGCTGATGCCTAGGGGTAGAAAATATTCCTGGAGTCTCACGAACAGCCAATCGCTGGCAGCAAAACCGCCAACCAAACAAACCAACTTTATGATGATATCACGATCCATCCGGTTATGAGCGAAATATGACGCTCACATTGATTGAAATTGAAGCCGCGCATCTCTGCTGCTCAAAAGCCTCAATAATGGCTTCAATGGATGGTTCAAACAAGTCGGCAACGTCCTGGCTGTACGATAAAGCATGAGTATCGTTATGAAGGTATTCCAAAGAATATGCACGAACCCGGCCAATTTCAATTGCCCTGATCGAATGTCATACTTCGGATCCTTGTCACGGATAGTACCAAACCTAATGTAAGAGGGCTCATCGGGCTTACGGAACCGAAGTTTTGTGCTGTTGTCAAAGATTTCTGCCATTTGTGCGACGATCTTGGGGTTGGAGTAGTGCTCCGAGCCCGAAAGCTTCTCTGGGCAATCAAATGACTATCAGTTTTCGATTCCCTGTATGGCTGATGCATCCACAGACTTTGTAACAGAGTACGAGCGCGACTAGTAACAAAGACTGAGCCCTGCAGGCAACCTGAGTGGGCTTCAGCAAGGAAACAACGCAGGAAAGCGGGGCTCACATTCAGCTGGGGCAATCTCCTCGAAAGAGGTCGGAGATAGTTTCATTGAGTAGGCGCTGAGATCGATGGTCCCACCTCCGGCATCAACAACAATGACTCCCTGGTTGTCAGATTGATCCTCCTCATCGTCGGAGTAATCTGACACATCTATAGGGGTTTGGGAGAACCTATCTGATGCAATCACGTTGGTAACACAGAAATGAAGACTCGCTTCGCCCTCAGTCAAGAGGTGCACGTGCGATTGCTCCTCTTTAGAGGATATGAGGCCAGCGAGCTCGATAGCGCGTCTAATTTGTTGTTGTTGTTGGCCTTCCCAACCATTGGGATGCGTGAATACGAACTCGATGGAGTTCTTGATCGATCTCCAGAAATCCAAATGTGATTCCTGGATATAATTTCGAGCGCATTGGAAGAGGTAGCGCATGAAGTCAGCGAGGACTTCTACTGCGGATTTGCCTTGTGGGAGAGGTTCTATATCGCCATCTCGTATGTGAGACGATGCCAGATGTTTAGCGCGAAGATGAAGTTTCCACCTGATAAAGATTTATATAGCTTATGTTTTACCCTCGACGATATACATACCATGCAAGCTTCACCCATTCCTCATCTTCTGCCTGTTCGATGATATGCTCCTGCAGAGCCTCAGCACCCACGGCTCGGACGTTTCCCTGAAGGTCGTAGTAAAGAATTGATGGTATTTTGGAGTCACCTCCAACATGCTCTTGCGCAGGATATCTGTAATCCTACCATGAGCCAGATACATGCAGCTTGAGCCGGTTACTAACCTTGCTACTCCTCGAATTACAGGCACCTCCCCCGGATCCAGCATACAATACGAGACCCCACTAAACGTGGTCCCAACATCAAATGCAAGCACTAGCTTTCGTGTTGGGCCCTTATACGGTTCTCGTGGAAGCATAATAGTAATCTGAAGGCAGGTAATTCATGTATCCAAGTTTATATGCAAAAGGGCATGCTTTACATTTCAGAGGTCACATACCAACTTTGGAGGCGCAGATCAAGGCGCGTGTGCCTCGTGCCGCAATTGATTGTGCTATGATAGAGCAAACGCATGTTGCATCTCCCATAACCTGTTCCGAACAGTCCAGAGCTTCCAATTTGGAGCCCTACGCCCAGTTTCACTCACGGTGAAATTTATCTAAGTTCGGATCTTGGTGTGTGCATGAGCGGCTTCGAAGTTCGAAGCTTCAATCCTGTGTACATGCATTCGACATATACGCATTGGCAACGACTTGATGTTGCCCGCACTGCCATTCAGCCAGGCGTACACGGCCTGTTAGCCTGTAAGTGGCTTGAATTGGGTTGTGTGGTTGAGACATTACCTGAAGCATTGATTGAATAGTATTGTCGTCAGATTTGAGGCACTGCAGCTTGAAGTCATCGAATCTGGTCAGTGCCAGTGAAGTTTAGTTTATCACCAACTTCATGACTGACGTTGACCTCAGCGCGAAGTGATTATACTTACTAACACGAACTTGCCTGCCCTAAACCAGTGATGCTTCACTGGCACTCAAACTAAACGACTCTAAACGACTTATCTATTCATCTATAATATATTTAAGGGAGGCTAGCCCTTTACATCGAATTTTAGCCAATAATGGCAAGTTATGTTACTTCTCCTCACCTTTGTTGATACTAACACTGCGGTCGGGAAGCCACTCCGAGTGTTTCTATGTCCAGGTCTATTCAATCTTTGTGGGCATCAGTGACGACTGTCATTTTGCCAATGTGACCCAGGACCTAATTTGCCGGACTGAGCGTAGGTGCCCACGGCTGAAATAGTCCAGAGATTAACTTCCTTGCATCAGAATCAGTACACCATGAGGACTGTATGACATACCGAATGCTGTACAGTGCACTCTTGCGAGGTTGGAAACACTTAACAACCGCCGAAATCATTGCGTGAGTAGTATGAGTCTGCCTTCATTCCTCCTGATATATCAGAAGTTCTGTGTGGTACGTTCAAAATGGCTCATCTCAGAACTGGTGTCCGTAGTGCTGATCTTGGTGCAGCGTGAACCTTGCCATCCGTTGTTGGTCTATTGTCACGCGTTAATGGCCCCAGTGAAACGACGCGGAATCTAGTGTCGACCTGCTTTTTTGCAGTACATCAGCGCGTCGTTCTCACAAGTTGAGGCTGCAGACAGACCTGTGACGCCAGCGAGTGTAAGGATGGAAAGGACGACACACATGAACATCGTGGTGGCGGTACGGGCAAGGCAGATTGAGACTTTACAGTTTTCTGTGCGCGTATGTAATAGGTCATGGAACTCATCGTGATCGCTGTTTAGTTAGTGTAACCGAGTAAATTCTCCTTCAATCAGCTGAAGCACAATAAGATATGCAAATCAGATCCAAACTGTCCGTGCTGTAGTTAAACCAACTGGGTGTACTCGGAACATAGGCAACAAACATTGACGGCGTAACACTCAAGCAAGGCAGCCGGGTAGCTACTAGCACGTGATCCACTAGGATGGATAACGCGTAGGCAGTGATGATTTCCCATCATTTGACTGCCAGTCGTCCATTAAGTGTTGGTCCATGTCGTTGCAGTTCTTGCCGTATGATCTTCTATTCAATATCGCCCAGGATCTTGAAATCGATGATGTGCACAATCTCCAGGCGGTCAGTAGTACATTTTGGTCTCTACCGTGATATGATCTTATAGCTGACTCAATCTTTCCGTTAGACTTGCAAGTCCTTGCGTTTGTTCACCCTTACCAGACCCGTATATAGACAGCTAGCCCATGACTTACTGGCTAGATCCAGGCCACTTCCTCTCCACTCCTTCCAGCGCCTCTCTGATCTTTCAACACCCGCGCTCATTGCCGCTGTCGACCGTGCACGAGGTTTTGAGAAGGCGTGGGCAATTCCGTGCCCCTCGACCGGCTCGCCCAAATCCCTACTACGGAAACCAGTGGTACATCACTATCAGCGTACCTTCTCATGAAGAGATCGATTGGCTATCTCCCATCACCAGCAGCTACACACTCTGTGCGACTAAGAGCGGCCGTGTTTTATGCTGGGATGTGAGGAGAGATATCTGCCTTGCTGAGTGGGACCCGAGATCCTTGGCATGTTCCGGTGGAGGGGATGAAGATGAAGACGAGGACGACGAGGATAAATGGGAGTTATGGAAATGCCGTGTCGAATTTGAAGAGCGCACAGTATATTTCACCATGGCCAGGGTTCTCAAGGGGTTGCCAGTTTTTTATTTTCTTTGATCTTCAGACTCCATTAACACGCCTTCTCAGATATCACGATGACCGCGTGATGGAATTCATGCTCATGCGATTATTCTTTCCTCACGAACTCGACGATTATGATGAAATAAACCAGGCACAACTCTATGTCCAATCTCCAATTCTTTCTCACCTCGACCACTATGCCACTGAGCCCCAGCCACGGGAACGTGAAGGAGACTCCCCGATCCAATTAACGCCTAGAGTCCCATCGCCCACGCAAGATCCGCCCCCGTTGATTCCGATTTACGATCAACCCCCCACCCCCACTCCTTCACCACCCGCCTCCCAAACACCCTCACCACAAAACTCATCCCTTCTTCACTCCGGCAGCTTCGGCCCATCCAGCGCTACATCCAGCGCTCAATGTTCCCCAATGGCGATCAACGCGATGCTACCGCCCGATTTTGCAGAATGCAGCGATCCTCCGCCATTAAATGGAATTCCATCCAATCAGGCGAATACAGTTGGAATTAGAGGTGATGGTGGTGCTGGGGAACCGTACCAAGGACCTGTTTTCTGCCATCCCTCCCTCCGAGCAATGTTTATCCGCAGCGCGCCTGCGACACCCTCTTGGGAGAGATATATCCCGCTTCCTATGAATTTTGGTGAGCATTTGCCTCAATTAGCTTATTCGTTGATGTGCCAATACAAATTGTATATTGTATTCTAACAGATCAGCCCCCGCCCCCGCCCCCAGTATCGACTATTCCCATTCCAGAATCGGCGCGTCCGGTATTTGACAAGCTCACGAGCTTCCATACAACGGGGGTCATCATGAACGTGTTCCTTCTTGACCCACCACGTCGCTTGCTGAGCGCTTTTGTATGGATTGCGAGTAGTAACACTATCGGTGAGTATCAAGATCAGGACTTCCAAATTTCTTCTATCTCCTCGCGTTACTATAATTGAAGCGTACTGACTGCCTTGTGTACATGACAGGGTTGTACGTACTCCTTGACTGGGCGAAAGACGACTATGTGTTTGTGGATACTGGTGTTGGATGTGTGAGTGGTCTTTGTGGTTGTGTTTCCTTCAAGTTACTCTTGCTCCATGTTTGGTGTTGGTGCACGCATTGGTGTTGGTGCGCATACAGTCGATGCCGCGTTCTGCAACTCCTCTGCCATACCTGTGCATTTACACGAATATAGTAGATTCAACAGCATACTCGTCTTTATCCAGCTACTTTACCATACAATATTTCACCTATTAACATCCTTTTATAGCTCATCTCCTCCAACTGGTCCTGCATCCTCCACGAAGACCAAATCGTAATCCACAGCGAAGAAGCCGACGCCGCATACCAGCACTTTTACCCACTCGAAGTGCTCAGGACATATGGCCGTCCACGTTGTATCGCTTCTCCGGCAACTCACGCACAAACTCAACCTCAGGCAGAAGAGGGCACCCTTCAGGAAAACAACGGCGAGGACATACCAGACTCGTTGAAGAGCTTGTGGAATAAACTCCCAACGATATGTGCGAGACTTACGCCGAGTAGGAGCATCTCAAAGAAATTCGTGTTTCCTTCTGTACCGGGGACCTCGGGTGCGGTGATTGGCATGCCTCCTGTAGGTGATGAAGATGAAGAAGACACTGAGGAAGAGGATGAAGTTAGTGCCGCGGAAGAAGATCAAGGACAGACCGAAAATAATACTGAGCCCGTTAGTGAAGAAGAACAGACCGGCGCGAATGAGGTATCTTCGACAGTACCTTCCGTTGAAGATGAGCAGTCTGTGGGTCATGAAGAACCTGTAGACGAAGAGGAGCCACCAGATGACGAAGAAGAATTTGAAGATACTCACGAGGGCGAAGAAGAGATGCCTTTCGCTCCGAAGAGGACAGGCGAAAGGCGTACACGTTTCGAAGATGAAGAAACAGGAAATGATAGTAGCGCAGACGGGCCCAGTAGCTCGCAAGGTGGTGAGGATGAAGTAAGGGTTGAGGATGAACTTAATGCAGGGTCTTCTTCCTCAAACCAACACAGTCCCAATCCCGAAACTGCGTTGCAAGGCGACGAAGATGCATCATCTTCTCAATCCACCACTCCAACCTCTCCCGAACCTCAGCAACCCATTCAAGATGTAGTAGGTGCGACAACGTCTGAATCGTTCACAAACCCTTATCCTTTCCCCCCTTGGTACCCCGAGTCTGCACACTTTGTGCGGCAGTGGTGGCCTACTCTCCCTGGTGTCCCGCGGTTGAGCTGTACCGTTGTCCTCCTTGCAGCTCACGACCCTGAGACGCACCGCACGCGTTTTGTGCTCGCGCAGCATTACTTCAAGGTCCCCATAACCCCTGAGGGGCTACCTGTTGTGGGAGAATCAAGCACGAGCAGCTCGTCTCGTTCTGCACAAGCAAACGACGATGACATGCTTCATCTGTGGTATGTCAGCACACCGTTCGAAGTCGTCTGCGTGCTCGAAGAGGGGGACGACGATGAAGATACTGGCGACCGGCCACGACCTCTCGTGGCTGTTGATTTTGGGCATGCAGTATGGGTGGAGTATGGTTCTTCTGTTGTGCCCCCCACCCTCAATGTTCGCGCACACGCCGACAACAATTCTCCTGGCATATACGACACAGATATTGTTCAACCGAATACAGAACCAGATACGCAGCTTCACGCCCACTTTGCGCACTTCGAGAACGATCACCTGCATCCGCATCCGCGGCGGCGGGTTCCCAAATGTCTGCGCTTCGTCACCTTCCCTCCTGTGCACGGCCGCCGGGAGCGGACTGAAGAGGCGGTGGTGCGCACGCTCGAGATCCCAGAGGAGCTGGACTTGGATGTCGTTGAGACAATCAATATTGATCAGAGCCAAGGGGCTGTGATTTTGAGTGTAAGGGACGGTAAGATTTTTATTTTGAGGTATGAATGATATTTTTGGAGTGGGAGGCGGATGTTTGTTACGTGGAGATTATGAAAGTGAGGATTGTGATATAGGATTAAACTCCATAACAGCCGTCCTCTGACGAGCTGGGGACTGTATCTGGCTGAACCTATGCAGACTTATGTATATATCGTACAAATCATAACTATGTTCCTTAACATTCCCCTGTACTATAGATAGTTCACCACTTCAAGCGTTGAGAACCGAAAAAATTTACTGATCTTCTTCAAATGGACTCGCGAGCATAAATAGGGCCCTGGGTAACTATAGGGCCCACACGAGTATGTACAGCCTAATACAGCGTCAGCCATTTCTGGACCATCGTGGAGCTGATTATGACAGGGCCAAATGCCAGGCTGATGTATATAATATCATCTCAACATCCCAGACCACACAACGCGACATAGCCCACAAGTACAGGAAGCGCAGTATACAGCACATTGATCAAGGGCAAGTGTCTTGTGTCAAAACACCGCAGCTGCTGTCAGGTGGAGCTTGGGTAGTAAGTAGTTATGGTTCTGATCAAATGAAAATAGTCGATTTCTATTGAGCGCCAAAACTTGAGTGGTTCTGGGCTGTCGCTAAACTGACCCAGACTCCTGCTCACTCAGCGAGGGTGTTCAGCGAATTTATTGAATGGAACAAGCTGGTACTTGGTTCGGGGGCGGCTTGAGAACGTACTACTGATTGCGTCCGAGAAAATAATACGATGACATCATCACATCAACCCACAGCCAGTGCTATCCAGGAGTATCCAGGCCACACCGCTTCACCTTGTAATCCCACCGCCGTACTCCCGCTCATCCGAAGAGTCAATACTTGCCCAACTCAAGCTCAGTTGAGCTCAGTCCTAACCTGTCGAATGTTGAGAAGGCTCCATTCGGAGCTTCAAAACACTTTCCCCAAACAGAATCGTGTCTGTACTTTCAAATACAACAAGCACAGCCTGCAATGAAATTCCAAGGCCAAATCTCTATAGCGGGAGGCTACAGCTCTATCTATCGAGGACCGAGTTTGACCGACTGCTACAGCATCCGAGTCATGATAGCGCAGGACCACCGACTACGAGCCGGGACTCTGGCCTCTGCACCTACGCCAGGCCACCCTACTAGTGCAACAGCTGTAAAACAATTCGGGCGAGGCAATTACAAGTCTCATGCCATTCCTGCCAATTGAAAACCCATTTTGGAGTATAAGGCTGTCTTGTCAGAGCCCAGTACAATATCTATGATCTACCCTCATAGCCCATGAGGCAATACGCCTTAACGGTTTCCCTCGTGTATAGCGGTATATAAATACACAAGTCTCTCTGTCAGAGCCGAGGACAGTCCAAAAGACCGTGGCGTCTTTACTTGTCAACATGCTCATTCTCAACGATCACTGTTTCATTGGCATGATCGTGACATTAAAGCACGGAAGCCCAGAAACACTGGCATAGCTATGTATCAACTTGTCAAAGACGGTGCCAACTGATAGTCCCGTGCCAGGCGGGCCAGTTGTATTAAGTCTTTGTGCGGCTCGTGCCACGATGTTGTATGTGCGCCACATTCAAGTTTTTGAACAGGTCTTGGGAAAGTTTCCCATAAGAGTGAGTCATGTACAATCGCCTTTCGAGAGAATGATTGGGAGTTACTAGCGCCTTACCTTAAAAGCCTATGTGCCACTATGACAAAAATCTGATGCTCCGATATCCACGCGGTCAAACATCCACTCATACCGCTTTCGAAGAAATCCACACCTCAGATCCATTATTGAACATGAGCATGCACTTGCATAAGTAAGGCTAGGTCTCACAAGTCTATGGGATGAACTCATAAGCTCACTGTGGTTTCACCCGTCCAGGTCCAGATGGATGCCAACATCACACCCATCAACGTTCTCGTGGCTTGACAATGTTGAGCAACTCGGAAGCACAAGCTTGACCAACGATGGGTTACACTATAGAACTTTAGGACGTGCATCCAGCGATCAAGATTCAACGACTTCAACCCTGCACTCTTGTCTTAAGTTACTTGACCAGCACTGTGACAGGCTTAACAATACTTACAAGGAAATTCTCGAGATTCGCACCCACATTGCAGAAATTCTTGCTAGCTCCCAGTCGGAAGTAGCCATGGGGAATGTGGGTGCATGGGACAGCAGCGTTGACCAATCATCGGCACAGTATGCATCTCTTTCGCAACCATCTGTCGGGGTCATTAGTACCCTGCCAGAGGGAACAGGTCCTCCTGTCCACCAATTTTCTCAAGGTAAGTCTTTCTGAATTTGCAGCCTCTCAAATACGCTTACTGAATGAGATGATAGAACCATTACTTCCCGGTGCCTCCAGTTCTGTCAGCCATGAGCTTGGTACACAGTCATCCTTACCTGAAGATGACACGTGCTCTGAGGAACAGACGTTATCTGGCCCTTTAGTCAGACGCCACCAACGACTGTATCTCCCAGTTGTACAGGATGGCGAGGATAAGGTGAAATGCATGTGGTCAGGGTGTTCAAGTGTTATCAAGAAAGATAGCTACACTCGCCATGTGAGCGAGGTTCATAAACGTCGGTTTAAGGCTGTCTGCACTACCTGTAGAAAGGAGTTCCTGCGTCCATATATGAAGAAGACTCATATCTGTCCTCGTCGATTTTCCAAACGTAGCAGTTCCTAGACCAAGGAAGCTCCCCACAAGGCGTCTAGTATATCACATTTATTGTAATATCGTTCGTATAATCACCGACGTCGTCATCCACCCTATTCGTTTTTTAAAAGCAATTTAATGTTCAATTTTCCAGTGTTCACTTTCTACGAGATCTCTGATAAGCACACCTATGATATCGGACCTGTTGCACGATTTCGATGTCCTGCTAGTAAGTTCCCTTTGCATGGTTAATCCGTGTTCTTTGATGCGGTATCCACGGTTGGAGGCCGCTCTGGCAACCGGAAATGGGCACAATACTTATCCAATGGACCGCATATTACGGAACCTTTTCTTTATCATACTAGACGAGAGGAAGACAGTTGTTTGTCCCCAAATCTAGGGTCAGATAAGTTGGCGGAACTCCAAGCCTTTTCAAGCGCAGCCCCGCCTCAGGCTCAATATTGTTGGTGTCTGCCGGATCTCAATGTCAATTTGAATATGCAAGCGGTCGTCTGGACTCTGGGCTAGATGGCCTTCTTAATGCCGATAGCTTGAGGAGTTAGAGTGGAACCGGTAGTCTTGGAGGATAACTACTACTCGGCCTCTCAACTTGCCCTGGAAATTTTACATAGCCTATCGCCGACCATGATAATCTTAATCGACCCATAATCGAATAAGAATCGTGCTCTCATGTGTTAAAATATCTTCACGGGTAGTGACTCATCCTTGTCCCGACTTGTCCTCCCAGGTTTTTCGTCAACAACTCCCTCATGTCGGGCAAGCAGGATCTTGAGAGTAATGACTCTACGACCCTAACGAGCTGGAAGAGATACCTATTGACGGATATCGATGGAGACAAAGCCACCGCTCCGCTGTCTGCATATTGTTTTATGACTGGTTTTATGTGTGTCTTCCGATACCCTCCGTGCTTCCCAATCACTCATATTCGTCCTCATCTCCAGTGACGCTGTCTGTTTCTCTGCCATTTTTGTATGGTGTGCTTTTCAAACTGGAAATACTGTACAGGTGCGATTTACTATTCTTTGTGACTCGGCCCATGGTCAAACTTTCACTCTTGTATCTGTCTAGCTCGGCCTTGCCCTCGCCCGCCTTTTCAATGGCCAACACGACTACTCTTTCCATATCGCAGATCAACAAGCCCTCTGCTCTCTCGTCACATTCATCATTGGCGCATCCATCGCCCGCATCGGCGACAAGATGGGTTGTAAAACCCGGGCATGGCTGGCTCTCGGCACTTTGATCCAGACCCTCTTCACCATGGCTGCAGCTATCGCCATCTGGAAGAATGGGCAGACGAGTGTTGCGGATTCACGTGCTGACCCTGCATGGACCAATACGCTGTCCTTTGTCTGTGTTGGCTTCATGAGCGCAAGCATGGGTCTCCAAGGGATCATGGGTAAGAGGACGAACACGCAGTTTACCACCACGGGTGAGTTTTCTCCGCATCATTCGCCTGTTCCCATACTGAACGTTCCATTCAGTGGTATTGACGACGACATGGTGTGAGCTGATGGCTGACCCTCAGCTCTTCAACATTCGTCGGCTCGTCATCTCCCGGGATCATAAGATCCTTGCCATCGGCTCGTTGTTCTTGGGCGGGTTTTTGGGACGTGCATTAGTCGATGTAATAGGCTCCGCCGGTACTCTTGGTGTTGGCGCGGGCTTGAGGTTTATTATTAGCATCTGGTGGCTCTTTGTCCCCGGCAAGGCAGCCAAGCGGTGATCGCCAAAGTCCATAACATTTACTGTAAGCAAACATAGATGGGTTGTAGAACTGATACGAGCATTGTTTTTTGTTCAATAATGATGAATTGTAATACTTAGCATTGATGGGAACTTAACATATCAGTATGAACAAACCTGTAGCTTCACACCTTACAGGTTTGTAACTTTTGCGGGACAATATTCACGAGTCTTGATATTACCTCATCTCTGCATGCAATCATACCAACACGGAATTAACTTGTGAAGGTTCGAGAAGTATGTTACGTGGTGATATGAAGGCTGTTCACCCTTAGCTACTTGAAATCCACTCTTCCAAGAATGTGTCATCTAGATCAATCTGGGGGTGTCACATCTAATATGGAAGACACATGTACCCCAGGGGCCTGCGCCTCGAGGTCATCACGTACACGAGGAATGAGAACTGCGCGGTAGACAAGTATCCCGCATCGTCCTACCCACATAGCACAACCTCATCGACTTCAACCCAATCCAACCATGACGTGGAGCGTCCCATACTGGACGGTGTCATCGCCCTCAAGTGCCAGACCCATCCTCACTACCCAGACCAATTCTCGAAACGACGCCCAAGCGGAGCACCGCACCGAATGGGAGGAAGTATCCCCCGTGCTAGTCGACTGCGACGCAGATGTTGTCAGCCTTGATGGCAGCAGGACGCATGATGAGATGCAGGTACTGCACCTGTCGAAGCTCCTCGACGAGGCGAAGCAAGAGAACCGCCGGTTTGAGGAGCAGGTGCAGTCCCTGCTCAACCAGTCTATGACTGAGACAAGCAGCCTTCAGTCCAAGATCGCAGAGCTCCGCCAGCGGAATAAGGAGGCTCTCGCTGAGTGCGAACGGACGAAGAAAGAGAAAGAAGATGTCGTTGCTGCGCTCACGAAGAAGATTGATGTCATCAAGGCAACGCTGCAGCAGCAAAACCAGGAAATGCGGCAAGCCCTCGAGGACCTGAATCGCTCCAGCGCTCAAGCTCAAGCTGAGCTACTGGATGCAAGGAACAGCTTGCTAACGTGCCGTCAGCAGCTCACGCAAAGCTCCGCCCAACTCGAGTCCTTGCAGAAAGAACAAACTGCAAGGATGAATCTGACAGACCGAGTTGCTGTGCTGGAGGCTGAGCTGAAGGCCAAAGATACAGAGCTCGCTGAGATGAGATGAAGAAGTTCAGCTCCCAGGCTAAGAGTGCAAACGTCGCCATTTCCCGCGATGACTCGACAACCCTTGTGCAGGAATTCAACAACATTCGGGCGCTGCTAGCAAATTGTATCCCAGAGCGTCTTGGGGGTATGTTTAGCACTAGTATGATGTCCTCAAGCAACGAGGTCGTCAGCGCTGTCCGGAAGCTGAACTCCGATATCCATCAAGATGCCACCATCATGGCTGAGTCTATGGCAGAATCATTTGGGTTTAAGAGCAGAAAGGGGAACGAGGATGAAGAGACGACGCTATTTCAACAAGTGGGCGCGACCATTGGCCCAAGTCTCGTCCACTTCTTGGGCACCAAGAGTCATAGCGAGGATCCTATCCTCATCCAGATCGCTTTCCAGACATACATCACTCGGTACCTCTGTTGGCTCTCGACTGCATGGATTGCTAGTGGAGGCAAGGAAAGGCTTGGGGCAGCTGATCAGAGTAACACTAGTAAGCGATATAACCAACGCACGAATGCAACTATTTACTAAAGTCATATGCAGCCCAAACGGTCACCACAGCATGGAGTGCACTATCGCATATTCTCTCCAAGCATCTCCAATTCGATGATGCGCAACTTTGTTCCGCAGCCGCATCCAAAATCGTAGCCGGGCTCGCTGACATTTTGCTCGTTGCGGGCTGTGATGGCACTCGGCTACAGCTTTGTGATGCTTTGAAGCAAAAGTTCAGCGAGAAGATTTCGCTGCTTGCGAAGTCTGGCATGCGCATCAATAAGCTTATCATCAATAGCATCGACCGGGGTCTTGATGTCGTGGTAATCAAGCCAGCCACAGTGTTTGATTCCATGTGCATGGACGATGGGTACGATGACGGTGAACGTGACAAGAATACTGCGAACAACCGTGTCCTGTGTCCCACTGATATCGGGTTGTTGCAGCGTTCCAAGGGACCCAATGGGGGAGTGAGGATTTTGTTGAAGCCAAAGATCGCGCTGGAATCTGTGGTGGATAACTTGGACGACTGAGATTGGGTGTTTCGAAGTTTCCATGGACGTTGAACGTGATTTTGTGTACATCTTCTGTATATCGTGACGTACTTACCTCGTGTTTCGAATAAGTATTTATCTGTTTTCATCATGGGGTGAGAAAAGGCCCCTGATTGAATGTACTACGGGCGCAAGCGGACATACTTTCTGAGCGATCATTTCACCGATATTCGAAAACGCGCACAACACATGCCCGTGAGAGGTGTATATTTCAATCATCTAGGTCGCGGGGTTAGACCTAGCAACCTGTCCTCCATTCATTTTGAAGCCTCAGGTCGACCCAATGCTTCAAACCTTGAGCATGTACCCATTTTACAGTGTTTTGCGTAACCTGACGCAAGGTCATTCTACTGAAACGGACGCAGCTTATCAAACCGAAGCAAGATACGCAGGGAGTCATAGCCGCCGGTCACAAGACGATACAGCAGGGAGGGAGAGAGCAAGCATTGAGCAGGAAGCACCGGTCCAAAATATGCGTCCGTACCCCACAGCCGAAGAAGCGAGAGCCAGGAGAAGGACCACGACAGAGCGTATGGACGAGACAGTATCCTCGCGACGGACAAGGACCACATCATACGTTTCACTGTCACCAACCACCCAGCGGACCGTGAGACAAGAAGTAGGCGCTTCGCCACAGGCTGGAGCACTAGAGAATGATATCAGGGCTCCACTACAGGCGGGCGCAGGCTCGTCCCGCCCCCCAGAATCTCCAGCCGTCTCCTCTTTACGCAACCTCAAAGTCCCTCCGGCATCGCAAGATGCTGAAGAATCTAGAAGCACAAGGCGCTTGCGTTCGTATGACACAACATATGATTCTTGTCAGCGACCCCCAGCCTCGCCATCTTCTGTTACACGCAGCGTGAGCTCTCAGGTGATTGAGCGAGACAATCAAAGCCTGGAGGTTGAGCGGTTGAAGAAACAACTTGCGATGTATAAAAGGCAGAACGAGAAGTTGGCTGGCGAGCGTAAAGATGCTGAAGAAACAACCCGGAACATAACGGCTGCCCTACATACAACGAGGGCCGAAAAGCAACGGTTACATGATGAGCTAACCAAGAGAATTTCAGAAAATCATAGGTTACAACAGGAGATGGAGGGATCTACCAATATGTCTCGCTCGCTCGACGCCAAGGTCCAAGAAACCGAATCCGTGCTCGCATCAACAAGGCACGCTCTAGACGCTGCAACGAACCAACTAAAGGCCATGTCAGAGCAAAAGGCACAGCTGCACACCCTCCTCAACGACCGTACCTTCGAGCTGAAAGGCGCACAGAGCTTCCTGACCACAGCCGACGCCTCCTCCGGAGCTGACGTCATTTCCCTGCTGCAGAGGCTTAATGCCGAGGTACTCCAGAGTGCTGCCTACATGGCGGAATCGATTGTGGATACATTTTCATTCGAGTCGGGTGGGGTAAAAGATGAGGATGCCTATGCAGCGGTCACGGGAATATTTGGGCAGTCACTCGCGCATTATCTGGCCACCAAGAAGCATAAAGATGATCCCCTTCTCATCCAAATCACGTTCCAATCGTGCTTCGTCCAATTCCTCGAGTTCGTGATTAGCTCATGGACCCTGGCTGACAACGATCTCAACAAAATGCTCGCCAGCACATACAGAAGAATACGAAGTGGTGGTGAGTCTGAACAGCATCATACAATAGTGTGTATGACGATACTTGTATTCCAGAGGCACAAGCGATTTCGGGGAGGTGGCGGGCGCTCACGAGTGCATACGTCCACAATCACGAGGAGAGCCAGCTCATCGCATTGTTTACACCACAACTTGCGGGTCATTTCTCCAACATCATGCTTGTTGCGGGGTGCTCCGTAGCACCAGACATACTTCGCGCATCAGTAGAACAAAAGTTAAGTGACAAGATTGTACTCCTCTTCAAACAAGCCTTGCAGCTTAAAAAAATCATGATGGAGGAGATCACGTCTGCCGACTTGAGAACGGTCACAGTGCCTTCCGAGACCACATATTCTGCAGAGCAGATGGAGGACGCATACGTAGACGGACACCCGGCTACTGGTGGCGTTCGGGTGCTGTGCACGACGGATCTCGGCCTGAGGCGGATGACCAGGCTGGCCCCATCAGGAGAGAAACAGTGGGATAACAAGCTCTTACTGAAGCCGAAAGTTGCGTTGAAGACAGTGGTTGATAGTATGGATGGGTAATTGGTAGTTTCATTCGAAAGTACAATGTGAGATTCTATGCCTCTTCCAACTTGATCTTTTTCGTCGCTGTACATGCTTGTTCATCCTGGCTTTTGTTTCGTAGAAGCTGTATCACATACCTGGATGTCTTCTGTCCATATTTTTCCTCTTGTTTTGTGCTGGACTTAAGTCTAAAAGTATGTTTGAGGACGAGAGGCGAAAACGCACGTGGTAGGTCCAGAACCAGCTTCTGCTCGTCTTCACTGGCTTTGCTCTGTTGATGTGCACCGTTAATTTCACATGGCCGAAAGTCTAAGGTACGCAATGTCACGTAGGCTCTCCAGTAAGATTGGTAATGACGCACAAGGCTTCTGGCGAGAGTCTTGCAGTTGCCTAGGGGTGTTCTTGGCGAAAGGCTTTTCGTCGAGATTCTGTTCCAGGATTTGGTTGTCATCTGGATTCATGAGCTCGGCAGATGGCCGGTAAGAAGTTGCTAAATGCATCACATTACGCTTTGCGCAATATCACGACGACTGGTTCACGTACGAGGCCTTAGCGGGGGTCCAGCGTTCATGCTCGATGCTTTCTGTTCCTCGCTCTGCTTCTGTAATAAACTGTTGATCGCGTCTATTAGTTCAGGAGGTGGCTGATAATCTGCCTGCGTCAAATAGATAGGAAGCAGTCCCAACACTGGTCGCTTACCAGGTTCAAAGCCCATGCCAGACGGTTCTGTTTTGACGTGTTCAAGTTTAACGGGCTTGGAGTCACTTTGAGAATCTCGTGGACATGTTTGCAAGAATGCCAGGGCGTCTTCCTCTGCAAAGAATGTTACACACGCCATAGATGTGTGAGTGTAAGAGGTGTTAGCATACCTTCCTGGTAGGGATCTAGCTTTCTCATGTATTTCTGGGCTGAAACATGTTCACTTTCGGCTGGAGTTGGCTGATTGCTTTCTCGTTCCGCTGAAGGATTCCTTGGCTGATTTGCCTCGTTGATGAACATTCCGTGAGCAGGGTGCTGCGTAGGGGGCTCGTAAGGTCTGAATGCAGACTATAGATATTTAACAAAGGGATAGCGAAGTCTAACCACATACAGCTTACAATGATATTAGCAGGTGCTGCGGGCGGAGGAACATGAGGTAGATGTGTCGTTTCTTGAGATACAGGGACAGGTATTGTTGTTGGAACAGGAATTGGTGTTGGCTCAGCTTCTGGGGTAGCTGGTTGTCTAGGTGGTATTGGAAGGACAAGACTGCGAATGGAACGAGGGGGCTCAGCCCAGCCTGGTTCCGGGTAAGGCGACTTTACAGGAGGTACAAACTTTGGAGTAACATGAGGACATTCTTCTGCCCAGTTATCTAAAGGTCTGAATTAGGCGTGCAACAAAGTAAAACCAAGACGCCTAAACTCACGATTACTGGGGTCACCGTTGTTGCGAAAATTGTATTCAAAGAAACAGGATGCTCTATCATCGTTTGGATTACCATCCCACCTCTTAGAAATAATCGCCAACTTATGTTCCCCAAGAAGTGGCTGAATATCTGTTCCCTTTGGAAGTTGAACAATGACTTCATCTCTCTACCGTCATTAGATTGCAGTCTGACTCGGGTTGGTACACTCACTGTCCCCATACCAAATACGCATTCAACTTTCGCATCTATATCTTTGTCCTGGAGGATAAGCTGGACCCACGCTGCCAGCCTATTAAAGTCCTCCGGGACGCGACTCCTGGGGATGCGATTCATCCCCCACGGGGTGGTGACGACGACATATTCCGCATTGCGATCTGTGTATGGGGGTCCTGTTTTACTCCTTGCCATCCGGTACTGAGTGGTAGTCTCCCCTAAGTCGCGGTCAATGAATGATGAACTGACTGATTATGAAAGACAAAGAGGAAATGATTCATAAGCACGACCTTCTGAACCTTCTGAACTCTCCCACCAAAGGCTTTTGTCTAGTTGACAGTTTACTGGCCGCAATTGCTGGCATCGTCATTGAAGGCAGTGAACCGCGTACATGCTCGAGTCGTTTGTGGAGCGAGAAGATGACTGCCTCGAACTGGGATGGCTCGTCGGATCCCATAGGCATTAGTAAAGTTAGTACGTCAAAAGCTTATCAAAAGCTTCATCACGCACTGCGTTAATAAGCATCAAATAGTTAATGATCGTGAATACTTTAGAGTAATGACGGACAAAAATCAAACGAATAGGATACGTGGTGACACAGTCCTGGAAGTAAATTAGTCTCCCGACAACTCCGCCTCCCTCTCCATCCCATCTGCAATAGCTTCAAGCGCAACCTTGGGTTTCGCCAGTGTGAACATCCTGTTCTCTGCGCCTTCCCCGTTTCCAACCTTCTCTGACCTCTGCAAACCAAGCGCAGTCGTGCACAAAACCACACCGGATTGGGCCCCACTCCCCTCGTCAAAGTCCTTCATCGATTCCGTATCGAACCTCTCTCCAGCCGCAGCATGGGTAGGCCAGAGATCTGCCGATGTGACTTCCTCACCCATGGCTCTGTTAAGCCTTGTTGCCATACGGACAATATTCGACACGCGTTCGCCAAACTTCATGGTGAAGTCGCGATACACATCTTCGTAGTTCTTGGTGCAACCAGCCGCAATCATCACAACCACAAGGGTGTCGCTGATATGTGCAACCATTGTTGAGTGCACGTCCGTCTCCTGCAGAGCCACCTTCTGCGCATGGGATCGAGTCAAAGCGCGCCATCGGCCGCTGACTGCCTGGCTTTCTGTCATGACGTTTCAGTATGTTCACTTCTTTAGATACAAATCGATCCTTACCTGTCTCCCGAACGTCACCATAGATCTCCGCCAGTGGTTGCTCAGCCTGTAAGCCGTCAAAGTCCCAGGTCATTATGATCCAGCGAGAGAACTCGACTGTGGCGGCCTGTAGTGCGATCTGGATCAAGAGAGGGTCTTCCCCGTGCTGCACGGTACCCAGGAGTGACGTCATGGCAGGTCCAATCAGTTCACCGGTTCGCGCACTGGCTTCCTTGATCTCGTCTCTGTGTTCAGGCTTGCGAGCGAAATCGAAGGAGTCCGAGATGAAAGCTGCCGTCTGCATGATCTCTTGGTTGAGTTCGTCTACCAGTCTGATGACTTCCGCTCCTGAGAGCGTGTCGGCTGTGCTTAGGAACGCCTGTGCACCCCGTAGCTCCCGTGTACGGTCGTTAAGAAGTGTGGTTTGATCGTTGAACTTGATCTGTAGGGCCTGCAGCTCGTTTTTCAAAGCCTTCTTTTCGCTCTCTCGCAACAATAACTGCTGCTGGTATGAACTGAGATCTTGCTGTAACTTTTGATTGGCGTCTTGAAACTTGGAGCGTTCTTGCTGGACCTTTTCTCTCTCGTTTTGCTCTTGTAGTAACCTGGCCTGAATGTCATCGGCCTCCTTGCTGGCTTTTTTCAGGATGGTCGTAAGCCGGTTATTTTCCGTTTTCAGGCTGCCCTTGTCTTGGGCTGAAACTTGATGTTCCAGCTCAAGTTTCTTCAGCCTGTCCTCTAGTGATATGCGCTTCTTCTCTTCTTCCTCCCATTTCTTCTTCCACTCAAGCAGTCGTTCTTCCGTCTTAGTGTCGCGGAAGAAACGCAGAGATTTCAGCCAAACAAAGAACGCGCGAGGTCGGCGTAACCACCAAC